AAAATTGCTAAAAAAAAAAAAAAAAAAAAAAAAAAAAAACCTTAAAAAAGAATAAACTACAAAACTTTCTACTAAGGAACACTCCACACTCCAGATTGCAAAACTTAACCTATTACAAAGGAAAAGTAATCAAGACAGTGTGGTTCTAGAATAAGGACAAATATAAAAATCAATGGAATAGAATTTAGAGTCCAGACATACACCTGTGTATCCATGGTCAACTGATTTTCAACAAGGTTGTCAACACCATGTCTTGGGGAAAGAGTAGTCTCTTCAACAAATGATGCTAGGATAGAACTGGACAGAAATAACCAAAAGAATGAATTTCAATTCCTTTCTCACACAAAGAAAAAAAAAAAACTAGACACAATTAAAAACTTCTGTGCTTAAAACAATACCATCAAGAAAGTAAAAAGATAGCCTAGAAAAAAGAACATTTTTGCAAATCATATATCTAAAAGGAACTTGTATCTAGAATATGTAAGAACTCTTGTAATTCAATAATATAAAGACAGTAACCCAATGAAAAATAGGTTACTCAACATCACCAGACATCATGGAAATACAAATCAACACTGTTACTATTAGATATCACTTTAATTATGCCCTTAGTTAAAGACAAATAAGAGTTGGCAAAGATATGATGAAACTGAAACCCTCATACAGTACTGGCGGGAATGATGCAGCTGTTTTGGAAAACATTCTGATTCTTCCTTGAAATGTTGAATATGTTACCATGTGACCTACCGATTTCATTCCTAGGTACGCACCCAAGAGAAACAAAAACATTTCCTCTCAAAAAAAAAACCCCATGTCCTCAAATGTTCATAGATTAGTAAATAGCAGCCCAAAAGTAGAAACAACCCAAATGTCCATCATTTGATAAATACATAAATTAAATGTGGTATACATCCATTCAATGGCTTCAAATCCAGAAATAAAAAGAAATGAAGAGCTGATTACATGCCACAATATGGAAGGACATTTAAAAAATTATGCTACGTGTAAAGCTAGTTACAAAAGATTATATGTTATATTACAAAAGACCATAGGACGATCTTGTATGGAATGTCCGAATGGTAAGTTATAGATAAATCTATAGCCACAGAACATAGTGATGGCCAAGCGCTGGGGTAGGAATGGATACATGGGAGAGGGTGGTGGCTTGAAGAGTTTCTTTTAAGGGTCATGAAAATGTTCTAAAACTCACAATGGTGATGATTAAGAACTTTTGAGAATACAAAAAGTCACAGAATTATATACTTTAAAATCAGTGAACCGTAATGGGTATAAACTATAGCTCAAAAAAAAAAATTCAATATATACAGAATTCATTAAAATGGACTACAAGAAAATTTTAATTTTTCTTTTGTGTTACTCCTATTGTCATTTATCCACATGACATGTTAGGGCCATTGTTACCCTATCTCACCCTTCCGGTTTTGAGAAAATAGAAAAAGCACAAAATCAGCAATCAGAAACCTAACTTCAAGTCCTGGTTCTAACTGAGTAATGCTGAGCAAACTGGGGAATTTCTAAACTTCTTTTGTTTCAATTTCTTTTGTTTCCTATTACCCTAAAAGAGAAAGGTAATAATCTCTAGTAAATTCACAGGGTTACTGTGTGCATCAAATAAGAATATGTCCATGTGCACAACAAACATGGGGGCTCTGAACATCGGCACATCTGCCAGCATGCTTTCCAGGCATCTGCAGTGGTTCCTCTTACCAGATCACAAAGCTCCGTTTGTTTGCTTTGTCTTTCCAGTACTATTTTCAGCCCCCCTATGCCTCAGTCTAACACAAGATTTATACAACTGGGACTTCAAATTCTCTCTCACATTTCCTTATGACTGCTAGGCAGCTTGATTCTGAGAGGGAGCAAGGCTAACAATGCCATCCCCACAAGGGGAGTGGTAAGAAGGCCCAATCCTGAAGACAACCAGTGTGGTTAACAATCAAACTGTTCTATGTGCTTTCCAGATGGTCAAGATAAACAAACGATTCTGCCCATTGTAACAACAATGATGTGGACAAACACAGATGACAAAGTGGAGAGCCAGGAGAAGACAAAGATGCCAGCTGCAGCATCCCTGAGAAACAGGCACACAGAAGCAGGCTGCCTGTCTCCTTACACCATTGTTCACAGGGTGCCAAGCTCCAGCAGCACCTTGCTCCTCCCCACTGTGAATCATTATATCTCAACTTCCTGACTGGTATTGTTAGAATAAGCAACTTGAAGTTCAACCTGCCTTTATTAGAAGTACATTTCCTATTAAAAAAAAAAAAATGAGAAACCTATACACAGCAGCTAGCCAAAACAGAAAGAAATAGCAGTAAGAAGGGTGAGGAGATCATTTGTAGATACAAGGCCCAACCTGAAAAAAGGGGATAGAAAAGAAGAGAGACCAAAAGAAAAGGAGGACTAACATAACCTAGTGAGGGGTGTAAACCATGCCCTAGTTTCTGACTGTATTTTCACAAGACACTCCTATACACAGGAGCAGAGGTGAAGTGTGAGTTCAATGTGAACCAAACCTCATATGCCTTTGAAAAAATCCAAGACACGTTCAGAATGCAGACTAGGAGTCATTAACATATCACGACACATGAACATACAGGAATAAAATTCATTTTCCAGAGAAAACCTATACAGTCAGTCACTTATGTCATTAGACACTACAAGTAAATGATAAAAATCTAACATCAAATAGAATTTTAAAACCTTTCAAAAAGCATCACTAACATTAAAAAATATTTATAGTAAAGAAAAAATCCATCACAAACCAAAAATTAACATACTCACATAGTAAAACTCTTAGAGGCATACTAACCAGATTAAAAACACAAAATAAGCACATGATCATTG